TGAAATAGCCTAGTCGTCTTTATTTTTGGAAACTTACAGAGATTAATCTCTCCATTTTTGTGAGCTGTCAGATCTTAGTCTCCTCTGTGTTTGTAAGTAGACAGATCTTAGCTATATAGTCTCCACTCCACTGTGTATGTACAAGCTGACAGATCTTAGTCTCCTCTGTGTTTGTAAGTAGACAGATCTTAGCTATATAGTCTCCACTCCACAGTGTATGTACAAGCAGACCGATCTTAGTCTCCTCTGTGTTTGTAAGTAGACAGATCTTAGCTATATAGTCTCCACTCCACTGTGTATGTACAAGCAGACAGATCTCAGTCTCCTCTGTGTTTGTAAGTGGACAGATCTTAGCTATATAGTCTCCACTCCACAGTGTATGTACAAGCAGACAGATCTTAATCTCCTGTGTTTTTTAGCTTAGAGATATCTTAATCTCTTGTATTTTGAAGCTGGCAGGTTTTAGTCTCTTCATGTTTATAATTGTATGGACAGCTTTTGGTCTTAGTCTCCCACATGCTTATAAACTAATAGATCTTAGTTTCTTCCCTTTATGAGTTTGTGAGTTTACAGATCTTCGTCTCTTAAGTATTTGTAAGCTGCTAGATCTTAGTCTCCTCTGTGTTTGTAAGCTGCTAGATCTTAGTCTCCTCTGTGTTTGTAAGCTAAAAGATCTTACTCTCCACTGTGTTTGTAGACTGAAAGTTCTTTAGTCTTTTTTGTGTTTGTAAGCTGAAATGTCTTAGTCTCCACTGTGTTTGTAAGCTGGAAGATCTGAATTATAGTCTCTTGAATGCTTGTAAGCTGACAGATCTTTTTTGATGTTTTCTGGATTAGATCACTGCTTTTCATGTTGATTGTTTAAGTAAATCTGTGTGATAGTGCTGACATTCTGAGGGCCTCCACTTCTATTGTCTAGCATGCACAGGGCTGGAGGTGATGTATCTGGCATTTCCACCATCTCCTACAACTTAGTGGATTCCATAACAGGATTCTGTGTACAGTATATTTGATGCTGCGTGACATTTACTCTGCATGTACAGCAGGCAATCTTGATTTCGTAAGTAAATTAATACTCCATAGTGGTAAAGCCATACTGTTTATTTGTAAAAAGTGTCTTCAAAAATTGAACTGTTTAAATCATGGTGCATTCAAGTTTTACTTCTATTTTTATGCTTGGAATCTCATGCAAATATACACATACCTTGTATACATATAATATGATGTTTATCATGCTGATCAATGGTATCTTAAGAATTCCATCAATGTATGCATCCTTCCTGCAGAGGATTGCGATATTACAATATACTTTAATGGTATATCACACAGTCGTTCAATTTTCAGAATGTTTGATTCCAACTCTCATGGTAGATAGTAGTTCTATCTAACATCATGTAGACAGTATATTCACTTCATTGTTGTTGAAGTTAAATCCGATCAAAAATATTTTATTCAGTGTTAAGAAATATGAGTTTTTTGCAAGGCATTAAATTAGAATAGTGTGATGTTTCTACTTAACCTTCATTATGATGTGGTACACAAATTTTGTTTTTCTTCAGTGTCAGGGTTTAGGCAGATGTACAAGAGTTTGGTGTTGAATTAAGATCAATGTTTATTTTAATGCCTCTTTTTATTGATAGAAATGATCCCTCAAATGTTTTTTAACTCTCTACATATAAAGCTTGCAATTTAAATAATTTCTGGAAAAAAACCTACACAAGTAATTTGACATGCTGCATAGATGTTGTATAATGTCTATCTTTTGATAATTAACCCATTATATGTTCATGTACTCTGTTGAAGAACTGTGATAACATTGTGATATATTTGTCAAATATGAATAAATGCAATGCCTAACTTTAAGATAAGTTTTACTTTAAAAAAATTTCAATATTTGTCTGAAAAGGATCAAGTTTTTTTGTTTTCTTATATAATAAAAAAGAGGGGAGAGGGGTCAAGTTACTTGTTAATGTTAAAAAAGTATGATAACACTAATTTTTTGTGAACAAATCAACACAGGAAAATGTGTGTCATTAAGGACTGATTAATAGATGTATTTACATGTGTTTCTATCTACAAACAATTTCCAGGAATGTTTTGAACAGGACTGCATGATGTGTATGTACTGTTAAATCATTATTGTTTCTATATGGAGGTATAGTGTATATAAAATCTTTAATTATGAAAGTTTCTGTTATAGATTTTATTATATATGTGGTTATTGATATGACTATCTCTACACAGATGTATGGTGTGAACTGTTTGATATGAATATCTCTACACAGATGTATGGTGTGAACTGTTTGATATGAATATCTCTACACAGATGTATGGTGTGAACTGTTTGATATGAGATCTCTGGTGTGAACTGTTTGATATGAATATCTCTACACAGATGTATGGTGTGAACTGTTTGATATGAATATCTCAGATGTATGGTGTGAACTGTTTGATATGAATACACACAGATGTATGGTGTGAACTGTTTGATATGAATATCTCTACACAGATGTATGGTGTGAACTGTTTGATTCTACACAGATGTATGGTGTGAACTGTTTGATATGAATATCTGATGTATGGTGTGAACTGTTTGATATGTTTGATATGAATATCTCTACACAGATGTATGGTGTGAACTGTTTGATATGAGATCTCTACACAGATGTATGGTGTGAACTGTTTGATATGAGATCTCTACACAGATGTATGGTGTGAACTGTTTGATATGAATATCTCTACACAGATGTATGGTGTGAACTGTTTGATATGAATATCTCTACACAGATGTATGGTGTGAACTGTTTGATATGAATATCTCTACACAGATGTATGGTGTGAACTGTTTGATATGAATATCTCTACACAGATGTATGGTGTGAATTGTTTGATATGAATATCTCTACACAGATGTATGGTGTGAACTGTTTGATATGAATATCTCTACACAGATGTATGCAGGGTTAGTAGAAAAATCCACTCGTCCGCTCGTCTAGACGAATCAAAGCTACTTGCAGGCGAGTGATTTGTTTCAGCTACTTGTCCGGTGGGCGAGTGAAATTTGTAGTTCTGACTATTGAATATTCAATAATAAATTACGTTTATCAACTTAAACACTCTTAAAACTAATTTAAATCCACTGATAGTCGATCAGATACATCAATGTAGTATCCTTGTTTACACCACGTGTCAAGACTCGTGCTGATCCAGACTACGCGAAAACCTATTACGTTACCACAAATATTGCAAACAAGATTGTTTTGTGTACGTAGTTACTGTCAAAAAGTCAATGTTCTCGCTGGTGTTAACAGTGAATTAAATATGAGTAAAACAATAAAAGCAAGTGTTGAGTTCAAACATTTAATATAGAAATTGATAATAAAATTTGTGTTCCTTAAATTATGTTTTGTTGCCCTTTTTTCTTCGGGTGAGTGAATATTGGATTCGGGCAAGTGAATTTCAAGTTTCACTTGCCCAACAGACGAGTAGCTGAAAATAGTTTTTTCTAGCCCTGATGTATGGTGTGCTAATCTATTCATTTGGATCTTTGGATGAGTGTGCTGTGGAATATGTTATAATATTGTCATGTGTATGTGCTTTGAAAAATTTAATAAAAATATATGTTAAAAAAAACATTTAAGAAAAAAATGCAGAATTTTAAAAGAAATCTTTGCTTTATCGTCCATCCACAAAAAATTGTCTTAACAATTTATAGTAGATTAAAAATTGTTGGGCAGAATCTCTAGTGACTTCTTTGTGCTTTACAGAGATATTATAATGGACAATGGAGAGAGGTCGAATTTTTATTTTTTTTTCAAACCATACTCTACTTTCTAACTGGTTGGTTTCATGTAAACATAACAAACTATGTTACTAGCTGTCATCACTGGTAAACAGAAATTTCACCTAATTACACAAAATAGTTAAATTTTGCCATGTTAAACCAACTCAAACAGTGTAATATTTGAGTTCATGTCAGTCAAAGTGTGTCATGTACGTAGACATTTTTGACCATGTGCCAATTATAATCAATGTTATACGTATTGGACTAGATTCAAAAATTTTGCAAATTTTGAAATGAAATTAAATTTTCGTCTTCACAGTATAAGTGAACGTAAAGTTATTTTCATTCTGTTTTTGTAATGTTGTCTTATCAACTACCAGCTTCTGTGTTATAGAAAATTCTGTGATGCAAGTATTAACCATTTGCTACATGTAGCTAAATATGTTCAGTTACCGACATTGAGAGCAAAAGGTTTACAAACGCAGATATTCAAAGTTACTGTAAACACTCTTATTTCTGTTTATGTGATTGTGAGCTAAGGTTCAGTGTAGACTGATAATATAGCTGTGAATACTGGGATAGTTTCTTCATTGTTCTCTGAGATTTGAGTTGAGCCTTTCATCTTGTAAGACAAGCTTGATGTCGATATTTTCGTGCTGTATTTGATGCTGTAGAATTGCCCAAGTTAAATCTTTGCTTTATAGTGTGCTATAAAGCAAAGCACTTCAGACAGTAAAATATATATAGATAAGTAATCAACTGAATGCCTGGTTTCAGTTTTCTTTAAGTCAAAGCTTCATTAGGTTTCTGTTTTGGAGATACACAGGTATGCCCTATAGTATTTATATAATCACTTTGGCTATCTCTGTCTGTCCATCTGCCATCCGTCCGTCCGTCTGTCCACAAATTAAGTTCCTCGCTGATAATTTAGGTATTGAATGACATATTTTTAAAAACTTTGGTCAAGTTGTTCTGTTTTCAAATGCGAGGTTAAAAGTCAAGGTCATCAGAAGCAAAGGTCAATGTCAAAGTTTGTGTGTTTACACTGATGAACATTTGATTATAACAATATGAAACAAAATTGGTTAGAATTAAAGAAAGACGTCAACTGCCTTATGGTCATCGTAAACTGCCTTATGGTCAACGTCAACTGCCTTATGGTCAACGTCAACTGCCTCAAGGTCAACGTCAATGCCTTATGGTCAACGTCAATTGCCTTATGGTCATCATCAACTGCCTTATGGTCATAGTCAACTGCCTTATGGTCATCATCAACTGTCTTATGGTCATAGTCAACTGCCTTATGGTCATCGTCAACTGCCTTATGGTCATAGTCAATTGCCTTATGGTCATCGTAAACTGCCTTATGGTCAACGTCAACTGCCTTATGGTCATCATCAACTGCCTTATGGTCATCATCAACTGCCTTATGGTCATAGTCAAATTTTGTAGCTTTTCAGAGTTTGTACACTAACAGAAATAAATTCTTAATAAAAAGTAAACAGACAAAAAGTTACAGTCATCTGGTCTTGTGTGCCATCCTTATCAAACCCAACATCCTAGAGGGACTAGTGGCCATGATATGTGAAGACTTTATCTCATAGTTCAAAATGTTAGAAACATAGAAAAAGCAAGAAAATTCCAAGCAATAAATATTAGAAATCAACTAAACAAAGCCTATTAGCGTTAAAGACAGACACAAAGGGTTTAACAGCACAGTAAAGGTTTCCCAATCAAGTCTGACACTGATAGAGAAATTTATGTGTACAAATGCAGTGATCCTTACAGCTGAAGGGAGACACTGATGAACCATCTGCATAGTCATTAGCATGTCTGTTTATAGAGTGTAGTACAACTTTGGCAAGGTAAGTTTGTCAGGCACACAGTATTCTTTACTGACGGCATTCTCCATGGAATATTGACATCATCAACTTGATGTTTTAAGAATGTTGACAAGCTTTGTCAAAGATGTGGTAATTTATGTCTCAAGTGAAAACTTCATACAATTTAACTTTGAGATTTCTAAATTGATGGAGAGATGTTTTTCCCCCAGAATGACATGAAACTTGCTTAACATATATTGTATCCATTGCAGTATTCAGAATTTGACAAGGACTGCGCATTAAAGACTGAGGTAATATATTCCTTACATGCTTTTGTGTAAATCTTAATCCACCTTACAGATATTCATGCATTCAGAGATTGTGTGTCGCTCAGTGTGTTAGGCTGCAGACATCATGGCCAGTCTGTATTTATCTGGAAAATTGAATTTGTATATCTCTTGTACTACTGATGTGATCTCTGACTTAGGCACTTCACTCCAACATCTTCCATAAGATATATGATGGCTGTCCATGTGGGATTAGGGTCAGTTTGTTAAGATCTGCTGTAGGGTTTCAGGGCCTCAAGCATGCTTTTATGATAATAAAAAATAAGTAGATATACATTTAAAATTAAACCTGTAGTATAACTAACTACAGGTCGCAAAAAGACGAGATATAAATTGAGGGCCTACGAGTCGCAGGTCAGGGATGCTTTCTTCGATGTCTTCTGTTCAGGAGACATCATAAAGTCCAGGCATATGGCCTGCTTATTCCCCTACATGATCATACTGGAAGTTGGTTAGTAGCCAGCCTCTGTAGGATGGAAGCTTTTTCCTTGTGTTATACTGTTGGGACATTGAAATAATGCAGATAGATAAGTGACTCCTTTGCTTGGGATCTTGATCATTTGTTATCTTTCATGTCTGCTGTTTCTTTCTGTGATCTGTTTTACATTCGCGAATTCCACCCTCCTTGGTATGATCTAATGGCTGTTTTGAAGACAATAAACCCTGTGAAAATAACACAAATATAAATGCCTTCAGAATGACATAGTTTTTATTTATCAATTAATTTATTTATTTATCTATTAATGAAAATATAGGGCTTTTAGGTTACTGTGCAGTCTGGTCCACCAGCATCAATAGGCCTGCTGACTGTTCTTAAGGCCATACTAATCTGTCTTAATACCGTTGATAAGCCAGTTTGATTATATTGTAATATTAACAATGGGTTGTGATTAGATTTTAAATCCTTTGTATTCAGTTATTACTCATAGGACGGGAACTTTAATTTCATTGTTGAAATTACACTGAATTTAAGTGTCAGTAGTATGGTTTTTGCATGATACAGTGGTAACATTTAACAGGGTTTGGTTCGTGGATTGCATACAAGGTATGGGATGATAACCTACCTGAATGCTTCATCTAGTTTCACAGGTTTCCTCCCACAGATAGACCCTGTGGTGCTTCCTTCCATGCCAAGAATGATAATATCTTTTTTAGGTCATCTGACCAAAAAGGTCCAGATGATCTATTGCTATCATGCATGGTCTATCATCGTGCACCGTCTGTAAGCTTTTCCTATAACACACTACTATTGCTTAACGTGGGTCGTTGATTCGACCTTTAGGGACTTGGGGACAGTGAACCAAAAAGGCAAGCTACACAATATTTTAATTCAAAACCCTACTTCTTCTTAATGCTGGGGTAGATTTCAACCAAATTTCATCTGAGATGTTACTGCAGATGGGTTATCATTTTTTTTAATTCAGAATATTGATTTGACCCTAAGGGACCTAGGGTGGGGCCCTAAATAAAAAAGTTAGTCTATAATTTTGCTTCAAAATGCTATTCTTCCTTGATGCTTAAATTGATATAAACCAAATGCGGTCTGAAATATCGGGGCTCCAAAAGGGATAGTTATAGACAATATCTGCTCCAGAACACTAATTGTTCTTAACGCCTGGGTAGATATCAACAAATTTGGCCTACAACATTATTAGGTAGTGGCAATGATATCAGAAGTGCATTAAGTGATCTTGACCAAATCTTATCTTTTTGCTTTATTCCAGAATACAACATTTTTTTATCTTGAACAATTAATCTTTTTTACTACTTCTCAAGTTTCATTCACACCATTGACAAAAAAAATTCTGAGTTTGATTTGTTTGGAAAAGAAAGAAATGATATATGTTATTTTTCAGCGTGATCAAAACTTCAACCACAGTAGCCATTTTGTCACCTGATTGCGCAATTATTTTCCATGAACAGAACTTACCATTTTTGAGTTTCTGATACTTTTAAAGAATGTTCTAAATTTGAATTAAACAGATTTGTCAGACCTCAATTCTGTGGTTTATCCATCCATGCATCGATTGTCAGATGACCATTAAGGGCCATGGCCCTCTTGTTGTAACTTGTTTTACAAATGCTGTGAAATAAATATAGAGTTTATAAGTGACATTTGTCGTACCACTGCAGTTGAAACGTTAAAGCTTTAGCATTTATGTAAACTCCAGAAAATCACCATGTGAATGGTAAGATGCTCCCTATCTGTGGAAGGTTGTGTTTTTCAGGAAGCTGATAAACAGGCCAGTCTGTGTTGACATTTCCGTGGACATTTTACCCCTGTTCTGGATGGCTTGGAACAGCCCTTCTGTATGTTGCCAACAGCTACAAGGAGACTCTGCCTCAAAATGACCCAAGCTGTTCATGATAACAAAACAATAAACCCTGCAAACAAACTGCAGTTAATATCTCCTACCAGATCACATGGCTAAATCAACACTCATGTGTGCTTTATTGAATAGTTTGATCCACGCAGTGAAGGGGTGTTCTGTCTTGCTGGATGCCTTTGCCACTACATTTAACTTCAGTGTGGTTAAACTATAAAGTCAACATCAGCTCTGAACTATCACAAGGAGGCTACACGAACATATTGAAGCTTTTCTCATAAAGTGACAGGACGATGATCTGACATAATCGATTATCATATCATTTAATCTGATACGAAGATCAATTGTAATTCTTCAAATCAATCATTGGTACCTCTTTATTTTCTTGTGTTCTAGTAAAAACAATACTTACACCATGCATAAAAATTATGCCAATTGCCAGTGATATTCATTCTAATACCAATTCAAGGTAACAGGTATTTTAGGTTAAAGTTTGAAATAGAAAATATTACTACAACAGAGAAACCGATCACGTTCAATGAATATTAAACTCACAGCCAGTCGAGTAATTGATTAACAACATCGGAAAGCCTATCCGATTTTAACTGATAATCATGTATGGATTTTAGTCGCCACAACTTTCAACAACACAGCAATCAACACATAAACTCTCCTCCCATGCAATGATGAAGAATTATAAATATATCATAGGAATATCAGGTTGATATTGAATGATTTTTTCACTGCTTAATCCTCACCATTTTGTTCCCTGCTCTAACAACATATTAAAATGATTTCTATATGAAAAATTATCACCCAGGTTATATATCTGACCCTTTGGCTGTGCTTAGAACTGGTGAAATTTTCCTTTATCCACTAAATCCTGCTTAGAATAAGCCGATCATTTGCTACATTGATTTCTTTTTAGCACTCTTGATGATTGAGTAAGGCCTGCGGATAAAAATACAGATTTGATATCAATGTAAAAAAAATTGCTATTTGCCTGTCAGCCACCACAGTCTTGGCAAAAATACTACCGAACCAAAACTAAATTGTCTATATATATGTTGGCATGGCAACAACAGCAGTGTTGCCAAGCTTTTAGCCTGATGTGTATTCCTTTTCACTATATAGTATTACCTGTTGATATCAGGTAGTTATGATGTTATCGATCATAAAGCTCCATTATAGGTATATTTTTTTCCAAGGAATCAAATTTTAAAAAGTGTGTTGATGTTGTGGTTGTCTTCTGAGCAAATCCTTCTAAAGGCGGAAGAGTACAGGGCAACTGGTACAGGGCCTCAGGTAGGGCAATTTTCCATTAGAGTCAACAAGAAGAGTCCTGATACAGGCTCTGTTTTTCAATACGCCATCCTGTTATGGATATATGCAATCTTGTTTCACAGCAATATTAGGGTCGTCAAATGAAACATCAGCTGTTTTAAGAATTTTTACTGAATGACATGACGATAGAAAAATGTACTTAGAGATAATACACTTGGGTTATATAGAAGATGTATCCAATCACTTTATTTAATCCTAGTAAATTTGGAAAGAGAAAAAAATAAGATGGAGTCATGGTCCTCTGTGCAGGTGGGTGATCGTTTCACTACACAGGAATCTAACATTAGAAAGCAAATTCCATCCATCAGTGTCTACAATATGTAGCATAACTGTCTTCTGTGTCTATACAGTAATTGTAGCAATCTTTCATTTAATCGGATCAAGATAAACCACAACTTTTCATGTAATACACAAACTGGCTTATTATATACCAATTGGTGTATGGAATTCTAAAAATAGCTGAAATCACTTTAAACATAGCTTTTTCAAATTCTTTTGCCCAAGTCACATTTGTTTAGTCATAGGATATTATACAACTAAAAATATTCATTTGCACATGGGAAAGTACGGAAAATGCAGGACTTCCAGTTTATGGTGCTCGTTACAATCAGCAGCGGCCGTTAAATCAAGTATCTAAGTAGCAAGTACTTTCAGTAAACATATTTCAGTAAGAAAATATTTACCTTTTCATAGACTAATGCAACTTTTAATAATATATTGCAAAAGTTATTGTTTCAAAGATTTCATCTATTTTCAGTAACAAATCCTTACCCCTATTGGCATATAATAGGCCAGTATTATAGGCAAAGTTGTGGTTTTCCTGACCTTTTAATAAAGAGTTCTAGATGTCAGGAGAAGCTGCTACTTTGTTAGGGAAGTCCGTGTAAACAAGAGTATGAAGATTGAATCACTGAAAATAACATTACAGACATAGCTGTATGAGTGTCATTTTGTAAACCTGGACTGGTTAACAGTGTGGGAAACTGTGTATGTCAATATTGAATTACAAACCAAACTGGACAAGAAAGGTACATGTATAGTGTGAGCTGATGTGTGTATTGTTTAGACAGATGTATAGTGTGAGCTGATGTGTGTATTGTTTACACAGATGTATAGTGTGACCTGATGTGTGTATCCACCTTCTATCTGATTGTTTACACAGATGTATAGTGTGAGCTGGTGTGTGTATTGTTTACACAGATGTATAGTGTGAGCTGATGTGTGTCTTGTTTACACAGATGTATAGTGTGAGCTGATGTGTGTATTGTTTACACAGATGTATAGTGTGAGCTGATGTGTGTATTGTTTACACAGATGTATAGTGTGAGCTGATGTGTGTATTGTTTACACAGATGTATAGTGTGAACTGATGTGTGTATTGTTTACACAGATGTATAGTGTGAGCTGGTGTGTGTATTGTTTACACAGATGTATAGTGTGAGCTGATGTGTGTAACGTTTACACAGATGTATAGTGTGAGCTGATGTGTGTATTGTTTACACAGATGTATAGTGTGAGCTGATGTGTGTATCCACCTTCTATCTGATTGTTTACACAGATGTATAGTGTGAGCTGGTGTGTGTATTGTTAACACAGATGTATAGTGTGAGCTGATGTGTGTCTTGTTTACACAGATGTATAATGTGAGCTGATGTGTGTATTGTTTACACAGATGTATAGTGTGAGCTGATGTGTGTATCCACCTTCTATCTGATTGTTTACACAGATGTATAGTGTGAGCTGGTGTGTGTATTGTTTACACAGATGTATAGTGTGACCTGATGTGTGTATTGTTTACACAGATGTATAGTGTGACCTGATGTGTGTATTGTTTACACAGATGTATAGTGTGAGCTGGTGTGTGTATCCACCTGCCATCTGATTGTTTACACAGATGTATAGTGTGAGCTGGTGTGTGTATCCACCTGCCATCTGATTGTTTACACAGATGTATAGTGTGAGCTGGTGTGTGTATTGTTTACACAGATGTATAGTGTGAGCTGGTGTGTGTATTGTTTACACAGATGTAAAGTGTGAGCTGGTGTGTGTATTGTTTACACAGATGTATTTTGTGAGCTGGTGTGTGTATTGTTTACACAGATGTATAGTGTGACCTGATGTGTGTATCCACCTTCTATCTGATTGTTTACAC